GGGCGGCATTATTGTAACCTCGTCTGGCGATCTGCCGCTGTTGCTGTTTCCATGCTATGGCGGGGTCCCGTCGTTATGGATGGAAGGAGGACGTGGTGGCACAGTTTTCGGTCAGTGGCTTATACGACGTCGTCTTCGTCCGCGGCACGCGAGTTGGGTATAGGCAGTCAGTTTATAGCCTTTATAGGTACATGATGGTGCAAGACAGGCTGTCGAGTAGAAGTTGGCGTAGAAGCCGGTTTGTGGGGTGAGAGGGAGGGCATGCTACTGTAGTAAAAAAGGGGACAGACCTGTCAATGTCAGGGTCCAGTTCGAACCAGTCCCATCCAGTGGGCTTGCCGGGTGCCAACGTCGACGAAGGTGGATACGGGGATGGCACCAACTTCGAGGACCAGAGTGTTGTTGGCCGTAGTGAACCTTGATACCTGGTGTTGGCGCAGGGGCAGCTCGTGGCGACGAGCCAGTGTCTGTATCCGTTATATCAGTCCGAGCCTGAGGAGCCTTATGAGGAGGTAGATTGGTCTATGCGAGCGTGATGCTGGTGCACGACTGATAACAGCGTCAAGAATCGTCGGGGGTGAGTGTTGTCGATGAGCACGCAACGGAAGGGGACACCAGGGCCGTGCGACTTTGTCACTTTGGAGAGTCACAAAAGGACGCGTCTCACCTGTAATCCCCACAATGCTCCCTTTTTATTTATTCCGAAGGCACTCAAAACCGTCCTCGGAGAGTCGTTGTTCGACTCGGTCATTAGGCTGGAGGGCCAGATGCCCAGCAGGTCTGTCGCTTGTTACGATAGGGTGGGGCTCATCGAGATTCTCTGGGATGAGCGTCGTGCAGAAGGTCATGCGCAACCTTCGAGCTGCGTCTGCGCGACGGCCTGGAGTGATGATGTCGCAACAGATAAGACAGTCACATCAGATAAGATAGACTTGCATATTATCAAACCTGATCAAAACTGATAGTAGAATGGTGATTTGGGAGCAGGGATGATACACGACGTTCAATGGGTACAATTAGTATACAGTGAAAGTAAAACCCCAATTACTGATTTCACAGTCCCGATCTTGATAGGCATATTGTGAACTCAGGAACGGGCGTTCACGCCGTGATTGTCTCCGAAGACGCCGTCGTCGACTGTGGATGAAGGCTAACCCAGCTTTCGCCTACACCAGCCCCATCATTACTCTCAATGTCAGCCTCTGATCCATTTTCAGACGCCTCGTGTTCATGTTCTGAGGACGGAGGAGAATCGACCGTTTCCTTTGCTACGGTTGCAAGAGCTTCGGGAGGTGTAGTAGGTACTACGGGAACTGGCGCCGGTGCCGGTGCCGGTGTTGGTGGGAGCTCCGGCGCCGCAGCAGGTGAAGATGCAGATGCAGATGCGCGATTCCGAGTTAGAGCCTTGTGAGTGGAAAGGAGGAAATACGGGATGCCGATGATGATGTCGAGTAGAGCACCAGGGAGGTGCGACACAACTGAGCTCATCACAACTGCGGAAGGAGGGGGTATCAGCAAGGTATACGGTCACCCGGGGTGAGAACGACGACAGTACCTCCAGACCCAACAGCATAACGGCCACCGCGTAACCAATCCAAAGCCCACCCAACATGAACTCGCAGGCCACAGAACGACACGGAACACACCCGACCATAACTGACAATTTGAACGAGATCGCCAACAAAGAGTTCCACTTTCTGGCCCTTGCGCTGGCACTTGCGACCTGATCCCTCCAGAGTAAGTTCCCATGCCGGTCCGTAAGCCAACTTCTCCGACGGAGTCCACGACTTTGTATACTCCTTGGGGTCGTAATCTAGCATGCGTCGCCCAGCAAACGGCGGAATATCCAGCGCGCCAACTTCGAGGCTGACGACTTCGATATCGTTCATTCCTTCGGCGCCGCCCGTTGAAGCGGCAACGCGCACTTCACGACGGAGAATGTCAACTGCACGACGAGTCGCGGCCGCGCTCATCGAACTCGGTCCCAGGAAGGGCAGCCCGACGCGCGCGTCGACCGCCGGAACACACATAACGATGCTCTTCTTGCCCTTGCCGTTTTTGATGGCGTCGCGCGTGCGCGATGGAGAGTTGCGCATGAGTGGCAGGAGAGCTTGGATGATCTGGAGTGGGGTGATGTGGGTGGCGTTGAGGTACTTGAGGTATTCCCCTTGAAGCTGGACGTGTTCCAACGGAGCGAGGGCGGCGAATTGAGAGAGGCTGAGGAGGGAGACGACGGAGTGGACGAAGGGATGCGTTGCGGGAGAGGCATGCGGATCGCCGTGGATGTTGATGGGGAATCTATGGGACAGCGTGGAGGCCAAGGAGCGAAGGAAGATCGGGATTGTGGCGGGCTGTCATGATGTGAGACGAGTGTGAGCGTTCTGGGAAAACATAGGCGCACCTCAAATGGATCAAGGACTAGTGCTTTGACATACCCCTTCCCTGCGCGTTCGAGTTCGTCTACTGCTTCGGGAGTGGCGACACTGGCAATGATTATGAACCCTTTCTTCTCAAGGGCGAGGATTAGAGGAAGTGCGACCGGATTGTCACCCCCGAGCACGACTGATGACAGATCATGAGATGGATCCCTCAGAATCAGAAGAAAAACCCATACCAACGACCTGTCTGCGTTCGTGCGTTGCCGTGTGGTACCTTTTATGCAGCCTAGCCTGTGTTCTCGCACGATAGGCGTTGTACCCAACCAGTAGTCCCATGCCCACAACACCGACCCCTAAGCCGGATGCCTTCCACGGATTCTCAGCAGCCCAATCCGTCACATTGTCGACAATGTTGCTCGTAGATGGAGGCGGTGGCGGTGGAGGAGGCGGAGGGACCTCGATGAGCACTGGCAAGCGTATCTCTGGGATAGCAGGCCCGAATCGCGAAACATCAGCCCACAGCCTGTTCAACGCCTCTTGTATGTTGGGCATTTCTGCCCTGGCGGAGGAAAAGGATACGTAAATATAGTCCTCGATGGACTCGAGATAATCTTGGACGCCATCCGAGAGAGGCATTGTGAGCAGGGTTAGCTATGGGCGTACGGAAAGATACGGAGGCAGGAATAACAGTGATAACATGGGCGTCAAACTCAATTCAAACCTAAACGAAGCACTTGTCAAAGTCACCATCCCCGTCATGCCTTGCATACCCCTGGCTCGCCACAAATGCATGCAACTCGCACAGCCCTGAAACTCCACCACAAAACTCCAACGGCTGTACAGCGTCGTTGACCAGGATCCGGACGAACGCCCCTTTCGGCAGCGGGAGACGTTCTACCCCACATTCCAACTTCTCAACCACCATCCTTGCGCTAAACGGAACCAAATTCGACGTGATCCAAGTTCTCAGCGGAGACGGATTGGCAGGGTCTAGTTTCTGGTCTGGTAGGAGAAGTTGCCTGAACAGACCCAACGCAGAGTAAATGGACACCATTTCGTTGTCGTGAGAGAAGTCGGCATATAGGATGCGATTAAGAGGGAATGTCTTTGGCGAGCCGTCCAACGTGCGGTTGGTTTGCGTGTGATCTTGAACAGGCTGCCCGGTCAGCCTGGCGAGCAGCTCGTTCACATATCCTACTCCCTGCACGCGACCAAGAGACCCTCCGTAACTAAAAGGATAGACCGAGTTGACGACCGAAATATTTAAAAAAAAAGGAGAACAGGCCCACCCGTTGGCGTAGAACTTGCTGAGATCCGAGTGGTATAAATAACCCGTGAATTCTTCCGCGTTAAACAGGCCACAAAATGGACTCGGCGCCATCAAGACTTGAGAGTGGAAGGCGCACAGTGACATTAGGTTGTGCGTATCTTTGTTAGACAAATGGGCACCAGGCGCGGCCGCATTGAGCCGCTTCTTGATAGACCGCGCAAATATCTTGAGCCATGTCTTACTTTCCTTGCCTTTATCCTCTGCATTGGGACACATGCCGTCATCCAAGGTGAGATTGCCCTTGCAAGATAGGAAATCTGAGAGCGTGAACGGGACAAAGAGAGAATTTCGTCTAACCGTCTCTGGAATGATGAGGTCCACTTTTGCCTTGATTGTATTGTGATTAGCTTTACGAAAGCCTGGGGGGTTCTCTTCGTAAGACGCAGAACGACACAACGATCAGCGTGACAGACCTGCGGTCCAGTTGTTGGCAGAGTCTACTACACGGGCCATTCCTGCCGCTCTAACAAACGGCGGGTTATCCTCCGTCAGGATATGCGCGTACCTGTTGAAGGCAACGACTCCAGCCTCGAACGACCTAAAGACATTGCGTCAGAATCCTTTCGGAGGAAGGGACACCGTTGAAGCTCGCTGTTTGGCGCCAAGCGGGAGTAGGTCATTCGCTCCGAAGTCCCAGGTAAAGTGCTTGAGGAAGGCGAGGTATTCTTCCTTGTAGTGCTTGACACCTTGTAGTTTTTTCACAGTTTTTTTCATCTCTTTTCCAGCGTCGGTTGTCGGCCAACGTGCGCCATGTCGTTGTATCTATCCCTCGTCAGTGGCAGATCCTGCTCAGAACAAGGAAAGTACTACATACCAGGTTTACCTAATACACGGTGGGTCAATTCTGGGTCGGGAAATAGAATGATCGAACTCACTTGAGTTACAACACACCCGGGAGGTGGAGGATTATACCCCGCAACGGGAATGTAAGGCGAGTACTGTGCCCAAGACCGCAGGAAGCTCTCAGGAAATCCAACATCGGGAACATCGCTACCTGTCACTACAGCAGACCCTGTGCATATGCGTGGTGTAATCGATGGAATCCACGACCGTGACCACCACAAAAGAGATGTGAAGGCCAAGACCGCGGCAGTGATGCGCCAATAGGTTTGTCTTCCTCGTCGAACTGCCCGGATTTGGGATGGAACATCCAACACGTCGGATGCAATTTCTTTTGCCATTCCGTTCAGCGGATACGAACGGATGGGGCTGAGTTACTTCTTGTGGGGTTTCGTACGTCACGCGATCAGGTCAATCCGTTTATATATGCACCTGAGGGTCGCTCGAGAAGAGGCGCTATAGCCAAGTGGTTACGGCGACAGATTAGAATCATAGAGTTGATCATCTGTTTCCCTTTGGGAGCGCAGGTTCGAATCCTGCTGGCGTCGAGCCTTCTTAGTTTTGCATTTTAAGCCTAAGTTACTCATCAATGCCTTCCTTTCTGTGCATTGAAGACTTTTTGCCACCCGCTAGTTCACGCATGGTTAATCAGTCTCGTTTGGACCAGCGGCCCCAAAGATGCACCATAATTTACGGTATTCACACCCAGAATTCGTCACCACGATTCGGAAGGAAAGACACATTTGATTACTGCAGCAATGTCTAATTTCGGAGGTGAAATGTTTCCATGGCTGGCACACTGGCACCATGATCGTCGCGCAAACAACATGTCTAGACGAATTTTATCCAAATGCTTATTGCAGCAAGTAGAATAAACTTTTGGGAGGGAACTATGAATTAGCGAGCTCCTTAGCGAGCTTCTCCGCCTTGACCTTAACGTCTTCGATAGTACCAGACATGTAGAACGCAGACTCAGGAAGCGAGTCATGTAGACCAGAGAGAATTTCCCTGAAGGAACGGATTGTGTCCTTCAACGGTACAAGCTTGCCCTCGTAGCCAGTGAAGACTTGGGCAACCTGGAAAGGTTGTGACATGAAACGCTGGATCTTGCGAGCACGCTCGACCTGAGAATCATGGAATCAGTACACGACAAGATAACCTCTGGTATACTCACTGTCAGCTTGTCCTCCTCAGACAACTCATCCATACCCAGGATGGCAATGATATCCTGGAGGGACTTGTAATCCTGGAGAATCTTCTGGACGGCAGTCGCAACATCGTAATGTTCCTTGCCAACCTGTTAACCGGCTATGAGTGAGCTTAGATCTTTTTGACCGTGAGACCCTTACAATGCGAGGGTCCAACATGCGGGATTTCGAGTCAAGAGGGTCGACAGCAGGATAAATACCGAGCTCAGCAATCGAGCGCGATAACACAGTGGTAGCATCCAAATGGGCGAAGGTGGTGGCCGGGGCAGGATCCGTTAAGTCATCGGCTGGGACATACACAGCTTGTACGGAGGTAATGGAACCCTTCTTGGTCGTAGTAATACGCTCTTGCCTAGAGGGGAGGTGGGAATGATACACGCACGAACGAATATCATTAGCTTACATGCTACCCATGTCCGTCGAGAGTGTGGGCTGGTAACCGACGGCAGACGGGATACGGCCAAGAAGCGCAGACACTTCCGAGCCAGCCTGGGTAAAGCGGAAGATGTTGTCGATGAAGAGCAATACATCTTGGCCTTCCTCATCACGGAAATACTCCGCAATAGTGAGACCAGTAAGAGCTACACGGGCACGGGCACCTGGGGGCTCGTTCATCTGTCCGAAGACGAGAGCAACCTTGGAATCGCCTTCGAGATTGATGACACCAGTTTCGATCATTTCATGGTACAGGTCGTTACCCTCACGCGTGCGTTCACCGACACCTGAAAAAAATCACGCTCACGTGATAAGTTCGGAGATAGCAGCGGCTCTAAACATACCACAGAAGATCGAGAAACCACCGTGCGCCTTTGCGACATTATTGATAAGTTCCTGAATCAACACTGTCTTGCCGACACCGGCACCCCCGAAAAGGCCAATCTTGCCCCCACGAGCGTAGGGAGCGAGGAGGTCTACGACCTTAATACCGGTCTCAAGAACCTCGGCAGTTGTCGACTGGTCGACAAAAGGAGGGGGGTCAGCATGGATCGGCTTGCGAGCAACGCCCTTGATGGGCCCACGCTCGTCAATAGGTTCGCCAATGACGTTCATGATACGGCCCAGTGTGTCACGACCCACGGGGATTTGGATGGGAGACCCAGTATCAATGACCTTTTGACCCCGAACAAGACCCTCGGTACCGTCCATAGCAATAGTACGGACAGAGTTCTCGCCCAAGTGGGAAGCGACCTCAAGGACGAGGCGACCGCCACGGAAGTCTTGGACTTCAAGGGCATTAAGGATCGGAGGCAGGGCATCAGTCTCAAATTGGACGTCGACGACAGCACCGATAACCGTCTTGACGTGACCAACAATAGCCTTCGACTCTGTCGCGTACGAGCGAGCTGTGCGGAGAATTATGTGTCAGAGTCTTTTGGGGAGAGAACGAAAGAGGACAAGAAAGGCATTGTATGGGATGTAACGTTCAAGTTGATGAAACAGGCGTACCAGAGGTCGACGTTGCAAAGCGCGTAGGGCGCAGGCTGGATTGACTGCCAGCAGAGGCAGAAAGTCCAGCCCTTGCAAGGATGGGGGCAGAGGTGGAGAAGAGACTGTTGGTTCGCTTTGCACCACCCACCGCTCTGCGGGAAAGACGAGTGATGCCGCGAGAAGTGAGCATTGTGTTTATCGGCGACAACAACGACAGCGACTACGGAGAAAAGGTGTGGGATATGGGAAAGAACTCGGAAAGGTACGAGTGTTTGCGTATTCAGACCCCGAACCAACTCCGACGATGCTCGGCCCAGCTCGATCATGATAGAGTGGTTACAGTACTGTATTGGATTGCTTGACTTGCTTCAACGGGCTTGTGCTAATGTTGCGTGACAATATGACACCGTGGAATTGGGCTGTGCCATTTGCACGAGGTGATGAACCCGTCCAGGGTTTGCTTAGATGCACCAATGACATCATGCCAACGAACCGGCGCCAACCCAGTTCAAGACGGTTTCTTCCGAGTGCCCACGCACAACTCACAACACCCTCAGCGTAGCTGTTGTCCTGCACAGCGCACAACTTCGTGCCGCGTAGCAAAAGGGCTTTTCAGTCCCATACTTGACCATCATGATCCCTCGCTGTATACAGAGGTCTCACTTCGCTCTTCGACTTCGGCGAATCGATGTACACTCTTATTCATCCCCACATGGCCTCCGTTTCCTGACCGCATCCCCAACGCCAACTCCGTCTGGTTCCAGACAATTCTTACGTTACGGCCGTAAGGCCGCCAAGTATGCGGCTTTCACTTGTTTCTCTGCCGTTCTCGGCCTTTCGGTCGTTATCGGAGGGGTCTTCATCCATGACGTTTTCACATACTCAGACAGACACATAGATCGTGTCCCCGTATCGCCACTAGCACTGCACCCCGAATGTGGCGGCCCAAATAACCTCCCTGTTGCGAGTGTGCTTGTTGGAGATGAAGATAATAGTTCCCTCGTGCCCATCAAGGACAAGCCGAGACTTGTAATAGTCGGTGGAGGGTGGGGTGTGCGTTTTGATTTCCTTCAACACCCTCCGTCTTATATCATAGGACTTGCCAGGCCGTCAGCACACTCCAGTCTATCCACCCTGGCGATTATCACGTGACTTTAATCTCTCCTGATACATTTACGACTTTCACTCCCCTTCTTCCCTGTGAGTCTGCTGCCAGAAAGGATGCACCACCCCTGATAGCTCTTACTCTTTTTCAGCTGCTGCTGTTGGTACAGTCAACGTTCGCTCTCTCGTCGAATCCCTTCGAAAGGTCATAGCTCGTGTACATGGGCAGCTCATCCATGGTCGAGCAGTTGATCTCGTCATGTCTGAGCGTTTACTTGAAGTTGAGACTGTTTCTGTCAACGGAGAAACGCGCAATATATATGTACCGTGCGGTCGCTACTATCATTCTGAGAGGTTCTACGAACTCAACTTACTCTGTCTAGATACGATAAACTTGTTATAGCTGTTGGCTCCGTATCCAGCACCCATGGCGTTTCCGGTCTTCAACACTGTTTCCAGCTCAAAACAATCGCAGATGCACAAGCCATACGTCGTCGCATCCTCGGTAGATATTTTCGCACCCCCACGTTATACTCGTTCATCTGTTCGTATCGCAGATAACTTCGAGATGGCCTCACTCCCATCAACTTCCGAAGAAGAGCGTAAGCGGTTGCTGAGCTTTGTGGTTTGCGGAGGAGGTCCAACCGGTGTCGAAACTGCAGCTGTGCGCCCGCACCGTCCTCCTACACTCGTGTTGTCGCTCACACGATTACCAGGAGATCTTCGATCTGTGCCAAGAAGACATTATCAATTACGTGAGTCCTAATATTATTTGTCCGTTCAACATGCGAACAATGTGGTGACAAATTTCTTAGTTTCCGAAGATATTACGGGAACAGGTTTCCATCCATGTTATTCAATCCAGAGGACACATCTTGAACACCGTGCGCCATAAACTAGGACCTAGCTCATGTTTCTAATATTTCTCCTACGCAGTACTCCGAAGCAATATCGAAATTTGCGGAGGAAAAGTTCCAACGTGATGGTGTTGAGCTGATTACTTCTGCACGGTAGGTTCCTTCTGCCCAAACTTAATACGCCACTTACAAGCGTTCTTCAGTGTAGGAGAAGTACGACCCGACCACGTTATCTACACCACTAAAGACCCGGACATTGGTGCAGTTGTCGAACATACTATTCCTACGAATTTCGTGTTATGGTCGACCGGCATCGCTATGAACCCGTTCACTGCTCGTGTATCCAGCCTCCTACCAAACCAAGTTCACAAAAAGGCTATTGAGGTTGACGCACACCTCCGTGTCAATGGTGCTCCTCTGGGGGATGTATATGCAATTGGGGATTGCGCTACGGTGGCCATGTTACTGTTTGACAGAGATGTCAGCTCATGCAGTTTAATAGATCGAGACTTCCCTGGTGTCGCATCTACTAGAGCTTGTTGAAGAGGCATGCTGGACTCAGGACGGTAAGATTGATTTTGACGAGTGGGAGATCATGGGTAAGTCAACATCAACGAAACCTACTGAATATACTGAATACTCACCCCGCGTAACCAGTCAAGCGGATCAAGAAAAAAATTCCCATGGCATCTCTTCACCTCGATAAAGTTTGTGCTGGAAAGTCATTCTGTTTCACCGCTTACAGGACCGTTATAGGTTCGCGCCTTGTTCGACCTCTATGATTCGGATGCCGACAACAAGTTGAACCTCAACGAGCTCGCCGTGCTCCTGCAAGAGATCGGCAATAAAATTACTGCCCTTCCTGCGGTAAGTGTATCATCCCACTGTTCACCAATCCTCGACTACCCGTCTCACTCCTCGCAGACCGCACAGGTGGCTGCTCAACAAGGG